GGCCTCTGAGGAGTGTGTATTGGAAACAAGCAAGAAAACCACTTGAAGTTAGCTGTGTCAACATTTTCTCTGTCCCCTTTCTCTGTAAAATTATCATCAGTTTTCTGTTGCGAGAGCATAAAAATCTACATTTGGCGAATTCTGAAAGAAAAGTTATAAAACCACCATGAACAAAGGCCCTGAGTCCAATCAAGCAACGAGTAAACTATGGATTGATCACTGCTATGTAGATCGATAGCATCAAGGTACCATCAAAGAACTGAGGTTTGTGAAACTAGCTTTGTGGTTTTAGACTGTTGATCAAGAATGGTATTTTTTTTGACACACTAAAACAGAAGTTGCTGGAGAAACTCTGTATGACTGGCAGCATCTGTGGAGAGAAAATAGACTTAATGTAATGTCATCCAAACTGGTTCTTCTGATTTTTTTTTTTCTGTCAACTCATAATATTTGTGTTTTGTTTATGTGTGTGCCCACAGGTTTAGAAGGATAATGAGGAATAGTACGGGGGTGGGGTGGGGAAAATCATTGTCAGTAGTGATACTGTGTGCCCCCCAACCACGATATAGGACAGAGGTCTTTAGAGAGTGGGGATTGGTGAGTTGTTAATGGATAATAAAAAATGCTGGATAAATGAACAAATATTTTGCTTCTGTCTTTGCTAAACAGTATCCAAAGTACATTGCAGTAATTACTGTAAATCAAGAGACGGGGGAGAGAGGGAAACTTGGTGAAATTTCAATTACAAGAGAAGCAAGACTGAACAAACTGAATTTTAGGAAAATTGAATCAGAGATAGTAGGAACTGCAGATGCTGGAGAATCCGAGACAACAAGGTGCAGGGCTGGATGAACACAGCAGGCCAAGCAGCATCATAGGAGCAGAGAGGCTGACGTTTCGGGCCTAGACCCTTCATCAGAAAAGGAGGAGGGGAAGGGGGTTCTGAAATAAATAGGGAGAGAGTGGGAGGTGGATAGAAGAGGGATAGAGGAGAGGATAGGTGGAGAGGAAACAAACAGGTCGAAGAGGCGGGGATGGAGCCAGTAAAGGTGAGTGTAGGTAGGGAGTTAGGAAGGGGATAGGTCAGTCCAGGGAGGACGGACAGGTCAAGGGGGCGGGATGAGTTTGGTCGGTAGGAGATGGAGGTGCGGCTTGAGGTGGGAGGAGGGGATAGGTGGGAGGAAGAACAGGTTAGGGAGGCAGGGACGAGCTGGACTGGTTTTGGGATGCGGTAGCGGGAGGGGAGATTTTGAAACTTGTGAAATCCACATTGATACCATTGGGCTGCAGGGTTCCCAAGCGTACCATTGGGCAAGCTCTGCTCCTATGATGCTGCTTGGCCTGCTGTGTTCATCCAGCCCTGCACCTTGTTGTTTAGGAAAATTGATCTTCCTTTGTGTTTGGATCACCGTTCTTCTAAGAAGATTCATAATTTGGAATGTGGTTTTAGTTTTCAACTTTGAGATTTGCTGTCTGATTGATCTATAGTATCTCTCCCATTTAATATCATTAGATATTCTTTACTATCACTGTCTTTAATTACCAGTTACCAGCCACCAGCCACCTGAATGCTAATAGTTAGGGGTAAGAACAAATTTGTCGAAGACGTTAGTAGTCTTTGTTCTGCTATAGTATATCAAACCTCCAGAAGTAGATTTAAAACATATCATCAAGAATACATCACTAAATCATAATCTTTTCTGTGACTTTCAGCTCTGACATTATCTCTGGAATCCTGCATTCTCTCCAAAATGCAGCCGCCGCAGATATAGGTAAAAGCCTGTAAAATTTAATGCAGTGAAACCAAGGTTGACATTTGACAGCAATGTTGAATTGAAAGTTAATCTCTACATAAAGTTGAATCACAAGGCTAACTCAAAATCGTGTAATTGCAGTACCGTTGCTTTCAGTGCCTCTGAAGTAATAAGTGGAAAAATGTCCAGAATCACTGGACCTCATTTCTAACTTGCTTCTTTAGATGTTAGTGCATATGTGTGGATATCAGGATGGGCTTTCCACCCGTTGGACAAAGTTAATACTGACTTGTGTTTTCTGCACATACTGTGAAGAGTGGCCACTGAGGTGAGATATTATGGGGCGCACAGTTCCTGCGGATCCATGCCCAAATTGAGAACCAATACCTCTAAGTGTGGGTCTAGTTTGTTTCTTTATTATAATACACTTTCCTTTTCTCACTAATTTCTTTAAGAAAAATTCCTTAACGCTTAACACAAGCTAGGGGGATGGTTAGTTCAGCTGGACAGTTGGTTTGCAATGAAATGATGCCAACAGTATAAGTTTAATTCCTTCACTGGCTGAGGTTACCATGAAGGACTTTGCTTCTCAACCTCAGCCCTTGCCTGAGGTGTGGTGACCCTCGGGTTAAACCACCATCACCTCTCCCTAATTCTCCTAAAATCATTTTAATGATTCATAACATATAGGAACAGCAGGTGAATTCACCCTCAATATCACAAGTAATCTGTGATAAAACAAAGATAGGGCACAAATTTCATAAAAGTGATATTGTACTATATTGTGACAACTACCTTGTGCTATATTATGGCTCCTTCAGGTCCAGAGCTGATCAATCACAAGTGCTTGTTGCAACCTCACCAGACCAGTCCTCAGAATTGGTCCATGAGCTAAGAATTGTCTCAGCTTATAAGTAGCACCCCTTCTTTCAAGTGTTTCTATTTAAAAATAATTAACAGTAGAGCTTTGTACTTTAAGCAAGATAATACAATGGTGTTGTTTGTCAACAAGAGAAAAATCATTGACTTACGTGCCTGTTGTAAATTTCGCGTTCCATAAATTTCAGAAAACACATCAAGCTGAGAGAAGTAGAGGTACAATTTGAGCAAGTTCCCAGATCACATGAAGTTAAGATAGGAGAGTAAGACATAAATATTACTGGGGTAAAGGTGTCTCCCTCCCTTTCATGTTCGGTGATTTAATGAGAGTTGAATGGCATTATCTGTGTTATGGGGAGCAATTGAACACATTGAATATCTTTCTGCTATCTGAAGTAGGATATAAGCCATGGTCCAATCTGTTCTCAAAAACATAGAAATCAGAACACAGAAGAAAAACCAGCAGTGGACCACTTTTAGTCCTTTAAGCACTTGGAATGAAATTGAAAACAATTATTTTTGTGAAATAATACTCATTGAAAGTGGAATTATCTTCAGATTATAATTGCTGCAGACATCATTTTACTTGAAAATATAAATTGAGTTGCACTAGTTGGGTTTCATAAATATAATTGAGTTGCTTTCTGAGCATTTGCAAAATTAAAGTTTTTAAAAATGTCTTTACTGCCATTTCTGTAGCTATTTAGCATCTCCGATATGTTGCTTTCTTTAAAAGTGAGCAGAATAATTCTTTAATTTTGAAGAATGTGACTGTAGATGCTTTATCTATGCAAAACTATCATAGAATAAAGCAATATTTTAACTTAGTGAATGTTATGTATTATAATTACTACTGTAAAATTTTGCTTGAAACATTTTGGAACAGGATGGACAAATGTTGTAGAGTGTTTGCTCGGGACATGATGTTGATTAGTGTTAATAATAGAAAAGATTACATTTTGACAGATTGCGTTTTGAAAGTGGTACATTTAATAGACCAAATTCCATAATGTAGTTATTTTCTAAAAACTAAAATGCATATTGTCCAGTGTAAGAATCTACTAAAGCATAGAATGAGAAGGCCAAAGTGCAGCTGCCTCTTACTCCCCTGCTGAAAGCCCAATCTTTCAACAATTTGAAATCTATTTTGAAAAATGTTTTGCTTTTAATTAAAAAAAAAATTAAATGTTTAAAAATGACTTGACTTGAGATTTGACTGTACCAGCTGAAAGTAGGGTTATCACAAAAATAAGTATCTAATCACTGTGTCAATCAACCACTTCTGAACAAATTCATTTTAAGTTAGTAAAGTGCACTCAGAAAAGTACTCTGCTGGTTAAATTGTGCATTCGACAGTTGAATTTTTTAATACATTAGTAGAGACCATACATGAAATCTTTTAAGATGTGTAATTTACTGTTCTTGCTCCCAGAAGAACTGGTTTATTTTTATAAGCCCCTTGGCAAATTAATGCAATTAGTGGAAGCCCCAAAGGCTTATTTTACCCTGCGATTGGCTAGTTTTGTGGGCAGGAGATAGGATGAACAGGCAACACATAAGATTATTGCAACTTCAGTTATGCTGAGTACAAATAGTGCTACAATTCTGAGATATTTTGATCTGATTTCAACTGAATTTCAGTTGGTTGAAGTTGTAGCTCCTAATTGATGCATCCCATAATCCGTTTAATGTGTATTTAGAAGCACATAAATAAACACAGTAAATGTATACAATTTCACAGAATAATGCACAAATTGAATAATTTATTTTTGGGATTGTCTGTAAAATCCCACAATGTAATTCAGATGTGGAATTTGTGATTATTATAAAGCAGCACTGACATTGCAAACACGCAGACAATGGATCTTGGATTGAATGTGAGCAGCTTCCTGCGAGGTCATTGTGATGAAATGCAACATTTTGAGTTGTTACAGCAAAATGCTTATACAAGTTATAAGTTTTTTTTTAAATGATTTTAATTATTCTGTTTTGTATGGAATCTCAGTTGCGATCGCAAGTTGAACTGTTTTTATGTATTTAGGCAAGTAATAATTTTGTTTGAAGTTGTGAGCTGTATATGTTAGTAAGTTATCTTTACTAATATCAGTTTTACATCACCTAAGATGCTACTTTTTCTATTTTATACTTGTAAAATTTGTATTTGCTTTATTCCTGAGAAACATTCTTAAACTGAAGTTAATAGCTCGAGTCTTTTTGAAGGTATTTGGGTGAAATTCGTGTTTTCAATTTTACGTAAATCTCCGGCTAATGCTATCACTTACACACCCCTCACTTGGGGTTACATCACAAGATAAGTCATTGAAGTGAAGCCTTGGTATTTCATCAATGTATCTTCTCTTCTGGCAGGTTGCTATGGTGTTGATGGTGAAAGTGATTCTATTATGAGTTCCGCCTCTGAAAACTCAACTGAACCCTGGTTCTGTGATGCTTGCAAATGTGGAGCAACACCAAGTTGTGAGTTGTGTCCTAATGTGGATGGAATTTTTAAAGAAACAGATGCTGGAAGGTTTGTTGCGCTAGTATGTAGTTCTTCATTAAAGGTTCAAGTTTCATAAGCTTGTTGACAGGCTTGTTGCATGTGGTTTGTAGAACATCCCCTTTAGAAGTTATTGTAGTTCTTAGTTCCCAAAATAAAAATATGCTCCGTTATGGTTGACAGTTCTAGGAACACTCCTGGAAGTTTGTTCTCCTTTCTAAAATGTGAGAGATCTGATCCCTCATACCTGTTACTGCACTTGCCTTATAAATTTAGATTGGAGATCATTAAACTGTCAGTTTCCTCTGCTGATGCCAGTTAAGATGGTACTTTTGTACTCTGTCTCAAATTTCTCTAAGCTGTTTGATATCTCGTGCTTCATTAATCATTTAGGAGATTTGATATGTTTGGAACTGTAGGCACCAGTAACATTCAGGGTTCTCTGCAGCCTCCTGCATAATTCTCCTTGTGAGTCATCACTCCACTATGCCTCAGTTTATTTGTCCATAAAATCTGTTAATTTATCTTTCTAAGCATTACATTTTTGGAAATTTCTCTTTGAACATACATATTTTACAATATTGTGGTACTCTTTGAGAGCTGTATCAGAATTGCAGATGAAATCTATATCAAATGTTTACCTCTCCATATTTTTTGTAGAGGAAGTAAAAGGAAGTCTCTCTCAGATAAAACAATTTTCCAAAAGCAGAGACAGCAGGCACTGAGGCAAGCACTTTTCTCCCTAACTGCTGGCAACAGTGCCGAAAAGATCTATTCTCGAAGTCTAGAGACTGCCTGAAAATACAGAACCGTTTTGCAGCCCTATAAACCAAATGGGCACTGGGAGAAAAAAAGGGTTGGGAATTTACATGCCGTTTCATGCTGCAGTGTCAAGTAACGAGGATAAGCAAATATTCAGGGATTTTTAAAAAAAGTCGAATTATTTGCAATTGTGTTATTTCCAACCCCCTTTCACAATTGCTTTTGTTAAAGGTCAGGCTTCAAATTTGTAAAAAGGTCAGTAAAACAAAGGTAGAAAATGGAAAAGGAAACTTAGTAGAACTGAAGAGTTACCATTAGCATTTGCTGAAAGTGGCTGGTCATGCAGCCAGCCTTGTGCTTATGAGAAAAATGTGTTGTGTGCTTTGCTTAAATGTAGATCCTTGGCTGATTGACATCAAATGTTTCATCCTTAATCAATTTCTTTGTAGTTTTTGTCAGTGATAGTTTGCCCTTGCCCAACTGCTCCCCCCCAACTCTTCAGGGGCAAACTGAGAAGACAGATCCCATGTCTACCTCAGCAAGAATGAAAATTGAATTTGTGCTATTGACATTATTTTGAGCTGTATTATTTTATTCCATCTAGCCAACTGACCTAGCTAGATCTGACATTGCACACCATCTATCTGGGAAAGGGGTTTTGTTCCAGGCTGCAGCAGATATTCACATCCACCTGCCATGAGAACGTGAGGCATTGATTCCCTGAGTTGAACCTCTTCTTATGTGATTCATTCATATTTAAACCTTGGTGTTGCAGGGAGTATAATGCCAAATTAGATCCTAATCTTGCCCATTTTCTAAAAGTGTGTCTCACTGATCAATAATGAAAAGCTGGTCTATTTCACTTTTCTTTGCCTAAACATAAGCATTGAAATCAGTTGTAGAACCACTTGTATTGTACCAGCTGAAATTGATTATTATACTTCTAAAAGGAGTTAAAGCATGTGTGAAATGTACTTTACTCTCTGTTCACCTTTGATTACACTGGCTGTCTTGAACATTGTTTTAGTATTTTTACATGTATTTTTGAAGATTATATCCAAGTTGACAAAGTTATAGATTCACTTTAGCTGCAAGTGTGATATAGAGGAGGTTTACCAGGATGTTAATAAGACAAAGTAAAATTAATGATGGGAGACCAGTGGATGTGGCATATTGGATTTCCATTTGATAAGGTGCCACATAAAAGCTTGCTGCACAAGATAAAAGCCCATGGTGTAGGGGATAACATTAATATTGATCAAGGGTTGATTGGCCAACAGGAAGCAGGGTTCGGGATAAATGTGTCTCTCATGGGTTGTAACTACTGCAGTGCAACAGGCATCAGCGATGGGGCTGCAACCTATTTATAAACTATATGTAAATGATTTGGATTAGGGGTCCAAATAAATGGTAGCTAAATTTGGCTCATGATGCCAAGATAGATTGGAAAGTAAGCTGTTAAGAGGAAGTAATGAGTCTTCACAGTGATATTGACCGGTTGAGTGGTCAAACATTTAAAAGATGGAGTACAGTGAAGGTAACATGGGTAATGTAAACATGACCATTTCAACAAGAAAAGTAGTGTCTTGTTTAAATATAGTGAGATTGCAGAACCCTGGTTGAGAGGAATCTGGGTGCACTGAATGAATCTCTCAATCTTACCATGCATATAGAGCAAGGGACGGGCAGTAAGATTTTTTTTTTTGCAATTGGTCTGGATTCTAAAAGTGTGGAAGTTTTACTATGGCTTCACCACAGTGGTGGTGAGACCATACCTGGAGTACTGTGTATAGTTTTGGTCCTGTTATTTGAAAGAAAATATAATTACTTCAGAAGCAGTTTAGATAATAATCAACTCGGCACATTTTGTGGGATAAAAAACTTGTGCTCATTGGAGTTTAGAAGCATGAGAGATGATCTTATTGAAGTGCACAAGATCCTGAGGGGTCTAAATAGGGTGGATACCTGCAGGATGTTTCTTCATGGGGAGAAAATTAAAGCTAAAGGACACAGTTTAAGAATAAAAGGCCTCCCTTTTAAGAAAGAGGAGAGGATTTATTTTGAGGTCTTATCATTTGAAATTCTCTTTCCCAGAAGCTGGCTTTTTAAATTATTCAAAGCTGAGTTAGGTTGTATTTTGACAGAGGAGGGAGTTGAGGATGGGTTATTGAATTTCCAGAGGAAGAGGAGGTCACAAGCAGATCAGCCAAGATCTTGCTGTATGTTGGAACAGGCTTGAAGGTTCTCTTTGCATACCCCCGTTCTTAAGATCTACGTTCCTGTGTTACCAAGGATGCAAGTCTTCAGGTATTAATAGGCTGGAAAAGTAAGAACCGTTGTCTTTGGAACAAACAGGTTAAGAAGTGATCCAACAAAAAAAATTCAAAATCATAGGATGAGTAGAGTGAGCTTATCCACATTAGTGGAAGGATCCATGACCTGAAGACATAGATTTAAAGTCATTGGATGAAGATCTAGAGGATATATAAAAAAAAATTTTCAATGTTGTCAGGATATAACATGCTACCTAAAAGGTAGGTGGCAGCTGATACCGTGGATAATCTTAAACAGGAGTGTTAATGAGGAAGTTGAGATTCCAGACAAAATAGAGGGCTGGGGGGCAGAGCAAGTCTGCTGCTTTAAATTACCAGCACAGACACTATGAGCTAAATGTGCTACTGGTTTCACTGATTGTATGTGCATTTTCTCTTCAGGTGGGTTCATGTTGTTTGTGCCCTTTATGTCCCTGGTGTGGCATTTGGAGATATAGACAGACTTCGTCCTGTTACTCTTACAGAAATGAACTATTCAAAATATGGTGCCAAGGTAAGACTATATATTTGTGTGACGCTGAAAATGTTCTTGTTTGTTCTTGAACATCTGAAATAAGGATAATGTTAAAGCAGATTGGCAGTAAACAGATTTAAAGGTTAGATAAAATTATTGATTTGTAAAAAGATCTTGGGGCAGTCACCAAAGATTTCCACTAAGGTTAAGTTTACAAATGTGACTAAGAACTTTGTATGAAACACGTGTACAACTCTGGGAGGTTCGATTTATAGGCTTTTTGGGCAGTGATCCCTCATCTCAAGGCACCCCACATGAGGAATTAGGAGCCCATGGAAATCTGCTGATTCCAGTCTTGCACTACCTTTTGCTCTATCACTCACCTGTGTCTGGATTCCTTCTTGATCCAAGGACCAAGGGATGATTTAGTATTGGCAGTAACCACTGCTTCCCCAGATCAGTATAGTTGCTGATCTCTGGCTAGCAAAGCACCTGACTAACCCTCCCAACTGCCTTTGATCCCAGTGGAAGCCTGGCAGCTGACGTCAAAAGCCTAAGGTCTGAAGATGCAGTAGGCCTTCACAAAAAGTTAGCTGAGGCCCTCTGACGCCTTTTACAACATTCTAACCATCGATTCTGTTCTTTTGTTTGCCAGCCCTGTTGAGATGAAAACAAATTTTTCCATATAATGTTGATTATTTTGTATGAATGTCCACTAGTTTTAATGAGTTGTGTGTATAAACCAGGAAGTCTCTGCTTCTCCACACTTTCTAACTTCTCAATATTTAAAAAATAATCCCATTTTTTCTTAACTAATGAAGTGTGGGGGGTAACTGCACACTTCCTAGAGTTGAATTCCATCTGGTGCACTTTTGACCTTTTACCTTAACCTATCATGTCCCTTTTCTATTCTCTGCTCCCAACCACTTAGTGTGGTAATAACTTGGTGTCAACAGCAAACTTGGTTATAAACGTTCTACCCACAGCATTGGCGGTTCTTGAGCCTTGAAGATCGAACGCATCAAATGCCAGACTTGAAACATCAACTTTGATTCTCCTTGCACAGAGACTGCAGACCTGCTGAGGTTCTGCAGCATTTTCTGTTTTTTTTTTGTCCTATATTCCTATTTTTAATAACAAATTCTGAATCAGTTTATGGTTAGTGAGCCAGTTTCTTAGCTGTTCCTTGGTTCTTCACTGTCCCCTAAGTAAGCTATAAATGATAATACAGCAAGCATTGTTTTAGCCCACACCTTATGAACTGCCACACTCAAAACTTGCAAAAATTATATACCTCAAATACCTGATGTTTACTGTAATATCGCGATCTCCGTCTTGGCTGAATAGTCAGTTGAGGGTGTGAATGAGAAGGCTCTCTGCTGGTAAGTTTTATTTAAGGCAAAGTTTCATTATTATTTATGTGACTCATGCTGTAAATAATATAACAGTGATGTGTAAACCTCTTGCATTGTGTTTCTGTTACTAAGTGTGTGTTTTTACATTGATTATGTGGACCTCTCAATCAACTGGAATATTTGATTGACTGGCACGCTCGTGGTTCCGTAGATGCCGGTTAATTAAAAAGTTTGCTGTATGTGCCAGATGATTACATGGCTAATTCTCACTCATTTATTCATAAATATTGCATGGCAGATTTGTCCTGATAGTTGGTGTCGTGGCTCCTTCTGTAAAGATTGCAGCCCTTTTTAACTATTTAGTTCTTTGTTATACTCACATAATGTATGAACAAAAACATTTTTCTTAACGTGTGCAGTGACATTGACATGTGACCTTCATACAGCACATTAGTTTTTGTAGAAATTGCAGGGCTACAGTGGTAGGTTTCATGGTTCTTGTTAAGTAATTAGTTTTATATTTCACATTGACTGCAATAGTGCACATTTCTAGAAAAGTTTCCTTGTTTCAATAGTTTATCACTCATTGCTGGTATCAATAGGTATTTCAATATTAGAGCAGGCATATGCATATTTAGGAATAATTTTTGTTAAAAATAAAGCAAAATCAAAGATCCGTTTACATTGAGCAGTTTCAGGCTGCTCTTTGAAGTATGCAGTTTAACTTGAATACTGTCTCAAGTCCATTCTTCTTCGTATTAAATAATCAATGCCATTTCAGAACATTCTAAGTGTGTTGTGTGTGTTCTCCATCAACCCAGTCATGATAGTATTTTCACGTGTATACTTGTTGCATGATTTCTGCTGAATCATTCAGCCTTGGTTCAGCTACAATGCTTAGACAACTTCCTGACTGATTTTCTTCTGTTGCTTGTTCAGGAGTGTAGTTTATGCGAAGACATGCGATTTGCTCGAACTGGAGTGTGCGTAAGCTGTGATGCTGGTATGTGCAGAGCGTATTTCCATGTGACTTGTGCTCAAAGAGAAGGGCTACTTTCCGAAGCAGCTGCTGAAGAGGTGAACCCACAATTACAGTTATACGTCTTCCCACTTTACCTTTTCTCTTTTGAATAGCTGAGAATAAATGTCCATATCATAACTGTCCTTCCAGGTAATGGTTTTTTGCTTATTAGCTACATTTAAATGTCATTTTAAAGAGACGAATGTAGCAGCTCAATATATCATTGACCTACATATTGCAACACAAAATGGCTTATTAAAGTCTGAATAAAGAAATAAAGGATGAGGAAGCATCGGTTTGACTACATGTAATTAATATGAGAAAGCATTGCTGTTTTAAACTTTAATTTTTGTCGTTAAAAAAACTAAAATTATTGATCAGTTTCCTGTTTCAGTAGTTTATCATTTGTTGCTGGTTTTCCAAAGGTATTTCATTATTGGAGTAGGTAAATGCACATTCAGGCACAACTTCTGTCAAAAACAAGTCAAGTCAAAGATCTTTTTACATTGAGCTGTTTTAGGCCTTCTGTTTGATTAGTTCTCCAAACAAAGCTTTTCACTGTACTTAGGTACGTGTGATTACAATAAATCAAATCAAACTCTTACTTGATGTTTATGCTTTTTGGTAACCTGAAACGTTAACCCTGATTTTTTCCTTCATAGATGCTGCCAGACCTGCTGAGCTTTTCCAGCAACTTCTGTTTTTGTTCCAGTTTGGTAACTTCACCTGGTTGACACCTCATTTTCAGGTATGCCTGGTGCTGCTCCTGGCATGCCGTCCTGCAATCCCCTTTGAACCAGGGTTGATCTCCTACTTGATGGTAGTGGGAGATATGCCAGGCCCTGAGGTTAAAGATTGTGTTGGGAGTATGATTCTGCTGCTGTTGATGGTCCACTGTGTGTCATGGATGCCCAGTTTTGCATTGCTAGATCTGTTTGAAGTTTGTCCCGTTAAGCACAGTGATCATACCATGCAGCACGTTGGAGGGTATTTTCAGTGCACCGATGGGACTTGAACTCCACAAGACTGTTTGGTGTTAACTCTTATTGATACTGTAATGGTTAGATGTGTCTGCGGCAGGTAGATTGGTGAGGATGAGGTTAAGTGTTTTTTTTTCTTTGGTTTCCTCACCACCGGCTGCAGATCCAGTCTATATCTTAATGGATTCAGATCTTGATGGAGGTGTAGGCCTGAACTTGCCCTTGGATGGATTGATAAAGTCATCTTGAGCTTGAACCTGAGACCAATTTTTCAGTATGCTACTCGCAAAGGCATTAAGCAACTTCTGGAGATTCTCTTCCAAGAGAGCGGAGATGACATTGTAACCTACATAGTGAAGTTCCATGAGTTATGTCACTGTCATTTTCTTCTTGGATTTCAACCTGTTGAGGTTGAAAAGTTTTCCGTCCATTCAATAGACAATGTCCACCCCACTGGGAAGCTTGTTCTTGACAAGATGAAGAATGTTGGTGATAAAGATGGGGAAGTGATGGCCTAGTGGTATTAACGCTGGACTGTTAATCCAGAGACCCAGATAACTTTCTGGGGACCCGGGATCAAATCCTGCCATGGCAGATGGTGGAATTTGAATTCAATAAATACCTAGAATTAAGAGTCTAATGATGATCATAAATCCATTGCTGATTGTCAGGAAAAACCCATCTGGTTCACTAATGTCCTTTAGGGAAGGAAACTGCCATCCTTACCTGGTCAGTCTACACATGATTCCAGACCCACAGCAATGTGGTTGACTCTTAACTGACCTCTGGGCAATTAGGGATGGGCAATAAATGCTGCCTTGCTAGCGATGCCCTCATCCCGTGAACGAATCAAGGAAAAGTGTGAGGGTGATGATGCATCTCTCCTTGCTTCCTGTTTTAATGTCAGAGAATTCTTACAATTGGTGAGAATGTCACTCTCATCATACATGGTGGAGATGGAGAATGTTAATGAATTTCTCTGGACAGCCAGCCTTTGACAGGGTCTTCCATAGCATTTCCTCACCAACTGTGTCAAAAGCTTTGGTCAAATTGATGAATATCATGTAGAGTAGTTGGTGTTGCCCTGCCATTTCTCTTGGAGTTGTTCGACATGGTAAAAGACTTAATGTGGAAATGATGATGCCTTTGTTGGGCCTGTGTCTCTCATTGTATAAGCTAAATTCAAACAACCTGTTCTGCATCAATAAAGTTTTAGCAAGTATTAAATCAGTACTTAGTGAAAGCCGTGCTTTTTCTTTAAAGATAACAGTCTTCATTAAGCAAAAATCTGCTCTAATTTTAATCTATCACGTTTCAAACAGTGGTTCATTGAACTCTGTAAATTCTTTGTGCTTCAGTATGGTAGAAATGTTACCTCCACTTTAGTTTTAAGTTGCACAAGCTTTAATGTTGAGAACGTTATGTGGCTGAATGGCTCCGAGTCAATACTAAAGCACTCTGATTTACGATTTCGAGATCCATTCTTGCACGTTTTCCTCATTGCTGTCTTTTACATCACTCGTATCTGTGAAACCTTTATGAAGTAGTTATTTGATTGTAGTTACTGTACTTTCATAAATTTTTATTAACTTTCTTTGCTGCTCAGCCTCATTTTATTTGCACTAGATGACTCAACATCAGACATCAGCTTTTTTTATATTGTGCACGGGTTGTGGGCATGATTGGCTAGGTCGTCATTTATTGTCCATCGTAGTTGAGATTGACTCCCTAGTTAAGAGTCAACCACGTTGTGGTGAATCTGAAGTCACTTATAGGCCAGACTACTTCAGAACAGCAGATTTCCTTCTGTTTTAAAAAAAAAGAATTAACTGGCTGGATTTTTCCAACAATCAACGTTGATTACATGGTAGCCGTTGGTCTAGCTTGTTTTCAAATTCCAGATTTTATTGAAATCCATTTTTACCATGTGCCGTGTTTAGCTTCAAACTTTTTTGCCCAGAAGATTCTTCTGGCATTCTGGATTGATAGTCCACTAACATTACCACAATGTTTTCATACAGTTTACAAGAAACAGAAAAATTGATGATTATTCAACTCTCTTTGAGTACATTTGCTGCTGTTTAAATACACAAACATAAAGATTCAAAGAAGTCCATCCTTGAGGTTTAGATGGAGTCAGTTGATTTTTAGGGAGGGCAGAATGTAGAAGTGTTCATCTCATTGGGTTTAAATAAAGCAAGTGCTCTAGTTCTTGCTAATTCAGTGATGTCTACTGTAAATTTCTTGATTTTAAGTGAGATGGTGATCAGGCTCTATCATGTTGTCCCCTTTGTTTGAAGAAATTTGACCACTTGAGGACAGTGCAAGGCATAATGGTTGACATGGGCCTTTGATCTCTGCAACCTGGAGTCAATCCTCATGATTAGTAAAATAACATGCTTTTGCATCTGGTGGTGTAAATGTATAGCGGTGTAGTAGTTATGTTATTAGGGTTTAGACTAATGATCCATAAAACTTGAGATCAAATTCTACCATGGCAATTTGAGAATTTTTATTTATTTTTGGGAAAAAAATTGAAGAATAAAATAGTATCAGTAAACATGTATGTGAAACTGACACTGTCACAAAAATGTTCATGCTGTCCTTGCATGGTTTGATCTATATGTGACTCCAGTTTCACATACACTTCAGTGTTTGATTCTTAGCTGTTCCTGACATAGCCCAGTAAACCACGCATTGTACTAAGAATAGGCAATAAATGTTAGATTGGCCAGTGAGTCCATCTCCCAAGAATGAATTAAAGCTATAGTAAATGCCTGAGAGCAGGAGATTGAGTGTGACATGACTGAACTACTGATCCAATCTGTTGCTGATTATTCTTTTGCATTAAAAAATTTTTATTATCTAAACTACAAAACATAAATAACAGCACCAGTGTGAACTTAGTGCATAAAGAAGATTATCAAATAACTTGAAATTAATAACTTTAAATTAGGAGTAGATTGTATTGCCTGGAAAGGTTGAAAGAAATGAAAGACCAGAAGCAGGAATCCAGAGAGTTGAATATGATAGGGATGGAACATTAGGTCAGATTTAACAGTATCTGGTTTCTTACCATAAGGGAGAGTACCGTAAAAGCAGAAGAGGAAGGTTACAGAAGAATATATCATTACATTAAGAAACTGGTGACATAATGATGTGGAAATGAAGCTTAGGCACTTAATAAAAATAATTCTCAATCAAGATGGAAAGAGGTGAGGGGTTTTTGGAAATCCAGCAAACAGTCATAACAGGACTAATGTTGGCAATGAATCAGAAGAAAATTAAGTGATTGCATGCAGGGCTTTGCTGAACTTCTGTATCTGTAAATAAGAAAACTACTAAAAATGTCATAAATCTGCAATAACAAAAAATGCTAATAGTAATAGGTTTTTCAGTAAAGTTTTGAGCATAAATGCAAGTCATCTCAGACATTGAAGAAAAATGAGAAGAGTCAGCACAGATTTCTTCAGGGGAGAATGATATTTAACTTAAAATGTTATGAGTTAACAGAGTTAATGAGGGAAATGTTGTTGATATACTATATGTAGATTTCCAAAAGGCATTTGAAACAGAGCCACACAATAGTGAGACAAGGTCTAGCTCGTGGAATAAGTGGGACTGTAGTAACATAATTGGGTGACAGGTAGGAAACGTTAAGCTTATTTTCCTCATTTCAGGCAGGCTTGTGCTGAAGTTTGCCAGAGGTTGGTTTGGAACCCTTGCTTTTCCTGTTATGTAAATGATCTAATCTGGCTGTGCATGGACAACTTTCAAATTTGCAGATGATACAAGTCTTGGAAGCATTGTAAACCATGAAGACTGCAGTGTAGAACTATGAAAGGATGTTTTTTGAGTTGAGTGGGCAGATGGTGGCCGATAATGTTTACTGCCGAGAAGTGTGATGTGATGCGTTATGATAGAACATGAAGATCAATACAAAGTAAAGGGTGCTGCCCAGAAAGATGTGCAGGAGCAGAGAGACATTGGTGTATTCGTACATAGGTCACTAAACAAAACAGATATGGTGAGCAGTTAATAAAGCACAACTATCCTGGGATTCACTAATAGGGGCA